ACCCGCCTCTCCAGGGGAGGCCGCTGAAGAAGGCCTGGGCGAGGAGGATGGGGGGCCGAAGGCGGAGCCTGGGGGGGGCGGCTGGGGTCGGCCGGGGCCTCAAGCCTCCCCGGGGCTCCATCCCACAGAACGAGTCCCTGGAGCGGCAGATGCGGGAGCAGGAGGAGCGCCACGCGCGGGAGGCGGTGGGCTACCAGGAGGCGCTGGCCCGGCTGGAGGAGGAGGGGCAGAGCCTCAAGGACGAGATGGCCCGACACCTGCAGGAGTACCAGGACCTGCTCAACGTCAAGCTGGCCCTGGACATCGAGATCGCCACCTACAGGAAGCTGCTGGAGGGCGAGGAGAACCGGTGAGCCCTGGGGGTGGGGGGTTCTCCCGCGGCTCCTCTCCGGGGAGCCCCACTGGTGCCTTGGGAACTGGGTCTTATCAGGCCTGGGTCCAGCCGCCGACCCGCCCGAGTGCCCAGCGCCTAACACACAGTAGGTGTTCGGTAAATGTTGGATACATGGATGGACGGATGCAGCCATATTGATTAGGTCTCAGGGCCTGGACTTGGGTCACGCCTCCAACTTAGAGACTCACTCCCTGGCCTCCTCACCTCACTGACCGGCCTCTCCTGCCCCCTTGGGACTTCCTTTACCCCTCTCCCTCCCTCTGCCATCTTCCTTGGGAGAGAGATGTTCCCCTCCAGAAAGGCCCCTGCAGACTTCTGGAGCTCCAGAGAGTAGGCTGGCTGCTGGGGAAGGCTTGGAGATGGAGTCCGACTTTCCTGGCAGAAAAGAGCCCTGGCAGCCCGTCATGCCTTTCCCTCCTTTCTCGCAGCATCACCATTCCTGTGCAGACCTTCTCCAACCTACAGATCCGAGGTCAGTAAAGCAGGCCTTGTGGGAAGGTGATGGAGTCCTGTCCCCTCCCTCTGGTCTGTGGGCTGCTCTGGCCTGGGGCGGAGGACCGGGGCCCAGGGGTCCGGGCTCTGCCTGGGGGCCTTCGTGACTCACTGCAGAGTTCCAAGCCAGAGCACTTCCAGGTGGGGCCTGCAGCCAGCGCTCCTGTCCTGCCCTGCCCTATGTCCCCCTTCCGTTCCCTGCACCCATTCCACCGCAGAGGGAACCTTCACCCTATGTGTAACCCCCCGGGCAAGCTCTGTCCTTGTTTTATGTGTGTGTGAGTGTGTGTGTTTTAACTGCTTGTCACTACAGGGGTCAAAAGCACGAAAGAAGGGGGAAGTCACAAGGTCACAAGACAACTCAAAAGCCTCACAATACAAGTGATACCAATACAGACTCGCCAGGTTGTAGACGGAGCCCCGCCTGTTCGGGGTTAGCTGCCTACCTCTCAGACACAGTGCTTTCTGCAGCTTGGCAGGGAAAACCAGCCCCACCTTCCCAGTCCTCTTGGGCGCCCTCCTCCCAGGATCCCGCCTGCCAAAGGACTGGAGCTGTGTCATTTTCCCAGGAACCTGAGTGCCCAGCCCAGGACTTGGCCCAGGCTGGATGTAGATTAAACTAGCAGAGCTGGTCAGTGTTAGAGGTGACAGGTCCTTGGGCGTCTAGATGAGATGCTCCAGCCTCTGTCTCGCCTCTCCCTGTCTGGGAAGGCCCGGTCCCACCGCGTCTGGTGGCCAGGGTCCCTATGTGTTGTTTATCCCCTAGGCTCCTTTCCCAAACTCAGCACTGATTCAGCCCAGAGGATTATTCCCTCTGGACTGTGGCTCTGCTAATGAATAAAGTGTGTTCCCTGCTCTTAATCTCAAATATTACTGAGTGTGACATATTATACTTTTCTCTCTGGCGGGGGGGGGGGAAGAATTAAGTGACTTTTTACTTGTATGTGGCCCTCAACTGATTCTTAGCTGAGGAAAGAAATTCCTCTTCTTCTGGGCTATAATATTTAGGAACACCAGATATGCACGTCTCAGTGCTTAACTCAGCATCAGAAAGATTAACCAGGGCGGGGCACGATGGCTCACGTCTGTAATCTCAGCACTTTGGGAGGCTGAGGGGAGAGGACTGTTTGGGCCTAAGAGTTTGAGACCAGCCTCAGCAACGTAGTGAGACCCTGCCTACACAAAAAAATTTTGTAAGGATTAGCTAGGTATGGTGACCCACGCCTATAGTCTCGGCTACTCAGGAGACTGAGGCAGGAGGATCGCTTGAGGCTTGAGCCTAGGAGGTCGAGGCTGGAGTGCAGGCTTATCATATTACTCAAAAAAAAAAGGGTTAATGGGGCTGACTAGGTAGAGATGCTATTGCCACGTACTAGACAGTCAAGAGCCACAGGGTCCAGATAAGTGGCAGCGAGGAGGAGAGCGGGTGGGGAAATGGGCCCACAGGTAGTGAGCACTGATAAGTGCTTAACATACATCATTGTAGTTAATTGACTCCTCACTCCCACCTAGAAAAGTAGGCACCAAAAGTTTCCCCATTTTGCAGATGAGGAAACTGAGGCTGGGAGAGGTCAATGAACTTGCTCGCAGTTGTGTGGCTGGCTGGTTAGCAGGTTGAAACGCGAGCTCTGGTCTGATCTCAGAGCCTGTGTATCCTTCCCTGATGCAGCACTGGGCTCTCCAAAAGCCAGGTGCCAGGCGAGGGCTCACCGGGTGGCTGGAATTAAGCCAAGCCGGAAGACAGGATTTGACCAGTGTTGTGGGGGATTGGGAGTCTCCAGCCCCTTGGGAGGAGCCTGGGCACTCCCTGCCTGGTTCGGCAGGCTCTCCTCCTCACCATGGGGTGGGACGGGGATGCTGGAGTGGCCCCAGAGCCCACAGAGCCTTCTCTCACACCTACAGAGACCAGCCTGGACACCAAGTCCGTGTCAGAAGGCCACCTCAAGAGAAACATCATGGTGAAGACCGTGGAGATGCGGGACGGAGAGGTGAGGGGCGATTCCGGCCCAACCAGCACAGGTTGCTCCGGGAATTCCCGAGGCCAGGCCATGGGAGAAGCCTGAGCCTGGCACGAGGAGGGTCCCGCGAACTCCCAGGAGTACCCCGGGGACACTGGAGGAGGCAGTCGCCTCGATGCAATTCTGTTTTCCTGGCCCCTTCATGGCAGTTCTGCGGGGAGCCTGGTCCCCGGGCCGCTGGGCAGGGTCCTAACTCAGGCCCGCCCCTTTGCTTAGCCTCAGCCTTGGAAGCCCCCAGTGCCAGTGCCAGGCCCGGGAGAGAGAACTCCAGTTGGCAGCACTCGCTCTCAACTCTAGCTGGGACAGCTGTGCGAGGGAGGGCTTTCAACGGCTAGCTTAGTAAGAGGAAGCTGCCAGGGAGCAGGAAGAGGGAACCTGACATGTCCCCCCCATTCACTCCTGTCACACCAGCAGCTTGTGATGGCCAGGCATGACGCTCTGTACTCTGCAAGTGTCACATCACGGCCCCTCTGGCCACTGCAGGAGGCAGCGGTGGCTCCTATCAGAAAAAGATCTGGGCGGTGCGGACCTGCCAAGGCTCCCCATTAGCAGTGGTGGGCCTGGGGTCTGTGCCACTTCCTCATGTTGCACTGTGTACCCTCCCTGTCCCCTGCAGGTCATTAAGGAGTCCAAGCAGGAGCACAAGGACGTGATGTGAGGCAGACCCCTGTGGCCCCTGCTCCGCAGTGGGAGAGGCCTGTGGCAGGGGCAGGATGCTTGCCCCTCCTCTGATGGCTCCTTTCCCCAGACCCGAGTTCCCCCCATCCTATCCCTGTCTCTAGGGCAGCTCGATGCCGAGGCACCGTCAGCGTTAGGCCTGCCAGGGGGCACCCCACCCCTCACCAGCAACTCCAACTAACAGGGCTCTCACCTCAAAGGGACTATCTAGGGGGCATGGCCAGCTGCGTCGGATAGAATTAGGAGGGAGGAGAGGCGAGGGGGAGGCAGGGAGCCTAACAAACCCCCTTCCATGTCCCATACCCATCGTTATGGCAACTGTTGCCAGAGCTGGTCCTCCGGGGATGTCTGGGAACTGGGCCCTCAGGCTGCCAGAGGCACCGGGACTCAGATGGCAGGGGGCAACCCCACAGGCAATGCAGCCCTGGCCAGAGGCTCGTGGGTTTTTTTTTTTCTTTATGAGACAGGTCTATGTTGCCCAGGATGGTCTCCAGCTCCTGGTCCCAAGCAATCCTCCCACCTCAGCCTCCCAAGTAGCTGAGATTACAGGTGCACGACACCATGCCTGGCTCAGAGGCTTGTTCTTCTAGATGGACCCAGACCCATCTAAGAGTGGGTGGGGATGTCCTGCCACCTGGGGTGGTCACCTGCCCAGATCCCTCAGTCCCACTGGACTGCCGTCGAGGGACCTGGGCTGTGCACATGGAGGGGCTTGGTTCTCAGCACTTGCGGGAGCTATAGTGCACGTGGAGAGGGAAAGGGGTGCTGAGAGGGATAGAAGGGGCTGCCGGGCCCCCAGGCATGGGTACAGAAAGGTCAAGCCGAGGAGGACTCCCCCCATGTAGGCTTCAGGGGGTGCCGGTAGAGATGGTAGAGGGGCAGTTGGGTGACGCGAGACAGCAGAGTGGGGGGCTGTACATGAGCAGTTATACTTGGCCTTTGGCTTGCGGGAACCAAGGAAGTGACTCAATCTCTGGAAGATGCTGGAACAGGAGAGAAGGGCTGCTGTCCACGTGGCAGGGTACAACTCTGTCCCATTCCTGAGGCCTGCTCCTCACTGTGTCATCCCATCTACCCAGACCTCTGAGCCCCTGTGGCTGCTGAGTCCTGACCCCAGGGAAGTCACCGCCACACATCTGACTTTCTTCTCTCCTAATGACCAGCTGCTTTTCCCTAAGCCAAGAGTCCCTGGGAGTCCCTTCTTACTCACATACAAAATATACCCTGGATTTTAGGTAGTGCCCTATTTTACAATTTGGGAAGTCAAGGCACGAGCAGAGTGAAGACCCTGGCTCTTGTGCTTGAGGCTGGGCACCCACTCCGCTTTCCCTGGGCAGACCAGTGGGCAGGTGGTGGGTATCTGCGCCCAGAAATGGGCCCTACAGGGCCCCCTTCAGGGTCCTCCACCCCCCTCAAAGGCCACGGAGGGGTCCCTCCCTCTTCCCAAGGCTTGGTGTCCTGCCCCCAGTCCTTCGTGCCCCGCTGCCGCTGCTAACCTTCAGGACACCGCTGCTGCCTTTAGTCACTGAGTAAAAATAAAGCCAGTGCTGCCACCTTCCCCCGGGTAGACTCTGATCTGTTTGTAGGGGCGGGTCTGGGGCCATGGCAGAGCCTCGGGCAAGACCAGCTTGCTTATTACTGACCATGTTGGGAGCCAAGCCCTCAGAGCAGGAGCCACAGACCAAATCCCACCCAGCCCAGCTCTGCTGCAGCAGTCCTGCTGCCCCGGCCTCTGACTTCACGCTCTCCTCACCCCGCCTGGGGGCAGTCTCTCCCCACTCCTTACCCATGCCCCATGTTCTAGTCTTTTACCAAACCTTTTTGTAGAGGCAGGGTCTCGCTATGTTGCCCAGGCTGGTCTCAAACTCCTGGCTTCAAGTGTGCCTCCGGCCTCGGCTTCCCCAAGTGCTAGGATTACAGACATGAGCCACCACACCTGCACCATCCTCCGCCCCCCCTTCTAGTCTTTATCTTTATTCCCAAACTGGCTAGCTCTACCTGCCAGGCCCAGAACAAGACTGAGAGGACGCCAAAGAACACATATACCAGCTCCCATCACTCTTTGCTTTCCTCTTTCCCCTGCTACCTCCAGTTCTACCTGTGCCCCCTGGGCAGGCCTCAAAGACAATAAAGTAAAGCACCAGGGCCAGGTGCCATGTTTCCATCTGTAATCCCAGCACTTTGGGAGGCTGAGACAGGAGAATCACTTGAGACCAGGAATTCAAGACTAACCTGGGCAACTTAGTGACACCCTGTCTCTACAAAAAAATTTAGAAATTAGCCAGGCATGGTGGCACACGCCTGTATTCCCAGCTACCTGAGAGGCTGAGGTGAGAAGATCGCTTCAGCCCAGGAAGTCGAGGTTGTGGTAAGCCGTGATCCTGCCACTACACGCCAGCTTGAGCAACAGAGTGAGACCCTGACTCAAAAGAGAGAAAAGATACAGAGAGACACACGCACGCACTAGAAGCCCCTCAGTAGACCACCAGATAAAACTGCATTCACTCCTTCCTTCTCTGACCTAAGTGTGAAGTCATGTGCACCCTGCCTAATTCATACTGACTTCACCCCCAACCTCCACCGGGCTCAGGCTTCACCACACCCCGGATCGGACCCCACACCCACCCATGAAAATGGGGGCGGGCTGTAAACTAGACCTGCCCCCAACTCCCCGCTGCAGGATGCATGACACAACCGGAGTTACCCACCCGCAGGCACTGGTGTCATTTAACAAAACAGAAGCACAGCGGGTCTTCAGGGCTGGGGAGGAGACAACCAGGGGGCGGAACTGGGACAGCAGCGAGATAAGTAGCAGCAGCACCGGCAGAGGTGTGCGGTGACAAAGAAGGCGGTGAGGAGCAGGTAGCCTAGCAGGGTGAGCACCACGACAGAGCGAGTCTCTGGGTCTGAGAGCGAGGCCGGGTAAGGCCCCCGGGACACCACGCCCAGTCGAAAGCCTGCAACCCGCTTGCCCTGCCGCCAGCAGTAGTAGACGCCATGGTCGCTCAGCCGGGTGAAGCGGATGTGGAGCTGGTGGCCATGGTCAATGAACACCCGCATGGACCTGTTGACGCCCTTCAGGTACTGCGTGCGGTACAGGGGCTGGCTGCCTTTGTCCCAGGCCACCGCGTGCTCTGGCCGGGCCCTGGGACAGGAGATGATGAGCCCATGGCCCAGCCTCTGCTGGTGGAACTGAACGGGCACCCGGGGCACCCAGGGCCGGCTGCCCACCTTGGCCACGTAGCTGAAGATGGCCAGCAGGCCCTCCTGGACTGACTTGCTCCTCTCGCAAGGCACCAGGCAGCTCCGCACCAGCAGCTCAGGCGTGTGGCCACTGGCCTGGGTCCGCAGCCTCCTGGGTACCGCCCTTGAGCCGCAGGACACCACGTCGGGCAGAGTCTTGCGGTAGCGTGGGGAGAGGCCCGGGCTCTGCAGGTAGCAGAGGCCGATGCGCCACTGCTCCCCGCGCACCCCGCAGCGGTCACAGGGCGTCCAATCCCAGAAGGTGGTGAAGATGCGGAGGTTCCCGTGGCGCTCGTCGGCGAAGGGTTCCTGGCCCTCATCCTGGAAGGTGGCCACCATGCCCTCGCCGCTCTGGACGTCCACATCATAGGCGTAAAAGTAGTCTCCCTTGCGGGTGCCACAGAAGTACAGGCCTGAGTCCTCGGGCTGGGCCCGGAACACCAGCAGACTGAACATGCGGATGCTGAATCGGGCCAGCATGTCGCGGCCCACCCGCACCTGGGCCGCCTCGGGGAGCACACGCCCGTCAAAGTCTGTCAGCACCGTGGTGTGGCTGCTGCCCGGGTGCTTCTGGTAGAACCAGACGACGGCTGACACCTCCTCAGGCTTGCAGTGGCAGGGAAGCTCAAAGGTCATGTCGGCCAGGTAGGCTGCATTGTCAAACATCAGGAAGGCAGGGCACGGGGTCTTCTGGAAAACATTCTCCTTCTCCACGATTTCAAAGGCCAGGAAGCTCCCCCATGCCCACAGGAACACAGTGGCATGGACCAGGCTCATGCCTGCAGGAAGGGGTGGGGGGTGGGGGCGGGGCAAAATCAAGCCACCAAAGGCCTGTGGGCTTTTAGAAACCACTGCAGAGAGGAGAGGAGCTTCTAGGGGAGGAAGGAGTCAGGAGCCAGGAAAGCAGCCGCCGTCTGGAGAGGAGGCAGCTGAAGGCAAGGCGGTTTATTCCCAGTGGATATAGAAGTGCCTTCCAATGTTCCCGACCTGATCTCCAGGGAAATCTGTTCTAGAACCTGGTCCACTCCCCTTTCTAGAACACTGACACTCATCCAAGAATGGGCCAAGGGAGGCCTGAATGAGAGGCAAGGGCCAGGAGTGGGGCCAGGGCAGGAGCCTTTGCCCTCGCTCCAGGCCCTCCCCTACTGGACAGGAAGGAAACCCCCCACCCCTGTCCATCTGTCCATGGGAGGCTGGCCAGACCTGAGTCAATGACTTGAGTTTTTTCAGGCCCAACCTGCATGAGAACCCAGTGTCCAGGGGAAGATTCTGCACCTCAGATGAGGTAGCATTTGGTCATCTGTTGGTGAGACGTCTGTTGAGTGGTTCTGAGTTACTGAGGGCTGTGGAGGTCAGAGTTTGTTTACCACGGAGTCTGTGCTTCCTTTTTCTGAGTGGAGGCCTCTGGGTATGGCCAGCCTTTGGTTGGCCACACACCCAACTCTCGGGGCAGGGGTAGAAGCTGGGCGCATTCTAGGGTGGGAAGCAAAATGGCTCTCATCCCTGGGTCCTTGACTGTCCCGTAGACCTGCACAGCTCAGAACATCCACGTGTTCAGGGGCTGGAGAAGTGGGGAAGACTTGACTCCTGCTTTTCCTCTGCAAATTCCAAGTGGAAAAGGGAATTAAGTATGGGTTCTCTGCTGCGGCCCGCATGGCTGCCCTGAGGGTCCCGAGAGAGAGCAGCAAGAGATTAAGAAAGACACAGACACAAAGACAAAGAAAAGCTGGGGCCAGATGGGACACTCCTCTGATGGAGGAGAAGTGACCCCGAACTAGCTCAGCATGTTTATTTTACAATTAAGCACAAAGAAAGTTGGAAGGGATTCAGGTCTGTGAGGGAGCCATAACGGAATTTGTTGTTACCTAAAGGCCAGTTGTTTCATGGTTTATCTTGTTGTGGCTAAGGCTTTATGCTATGTGCATCTGGATGTGTGGACATCTGAAACCGTTTCATGGAGCAGGCTGCATCCCTCGCCTTTGGCTAAGATGCAGAGTTGCCAAGCAAGACCTTGTCTACTAGCTTGGAGCCATTAAGCCATTAAGCGAGACCTTGCCTTCGCTTGGGCCTTTACTCAAGGCCTGCTACAGTGACGGTGCCCGTCTGTTCCCCACATCACATCCGCTCCCGACAGTTCTCATCACAGTTCTGCAGAACCCTTAAGTCAACAACCAAAACATGATCTCCCATGACTGCCGGGGCCTCTGCAGTGGGCGGGCCTGTCAGTCAACCTGGTATAGCGCTAGCAACTCCTGCAGGGCCCCATCTTCCACTCGGAGCTCACCAGTCTGCGCCTCCAGGCCCTGCTCCTCTGCGGGCCTGGGGGCGCCCAGGGCCTGCAGCTTCCGGAACAAGCGCTTGCAGCTCTCTCTCTCCTCCTGGCTCAGCAGGCTCAGATTCAGGGGGAAGCGCCCGGTGCCCGCCAGGCTGCGCAGGATGCCCAGCACCGCTGCCCGGTCGGCCGGCCTCACATGGTCAGCCAATGCCACCAGCAGCTCCCCCAGAAGTCCAAAACCCACGTCTGTCTGGAAGAGGTGGCCCAACTTCAGACCCCCAAGCTGCAGCAGGGCCTGATAGCGCTCCGGCCCACTCCGCAAGTGTCGCCGCCAATCACGGTAGAACTCTGCCGAGGTCTGGGGCTCAAGGGGTGATTTCTCCTGGGTAACAAAGGAGGAGGGAGAGTCCAGAGTTGGTCTGCTCTGAGATAGCAATGGTAGGGAAAGATACAGGTTTTCATTCTAGCTCTGGTCCCGCTCTGAGCACTGGGTAGGCTGTGGTCCCTGGAGCCTCGTTTTCAGATGAGGGAGCTGAGGGTGGGACAGGGGCAAGGTGCCTGGGAATCCAGGCCACGAGCTGAGATTCTCATTTATACTGGGATTGTCCTGCTGATGAGTGGAGACACAGCCCTCTGGTCTTCAAGGGTAAGGAAGTCAGGGTCGACTCTGAGTCGGGTGGAGGGTGGAGGGGTTGATTAGAAATCGCGGAGAGGCCGGGCTCGGTGCCTCAGCCTGTAATCCCGTGCTTTGGGAGGCCGAGGTGAGTGAACTGCCTGAGCCCGCGGGTTCGAGACCTGCCTGGGCAACTTGGTGAGACCTCATTTTTACAATAAATCAAAAAATTAGCCGGGCATGGTAGTGTGCGCCTGTAGTTCTGGTTACTTGGAAGGATGAGGCAGAAGGATCGCTGGAGCCCAGCAAGTTGAGGCTGCAGTAGTTGGGAGCGGCCATTGCACTCCAGTCTGGGTGACAGAGTGAGACTCCAACTCAAAAAAAAAAAAAAAATCGCAGGAGGAGAGAAAGAAACTAAAGTGAATGTCAACAGCCAGGTGCAGTGGCTCACACCTGTAATGCCAGCATGTTGGGAGGCAGAGGGAAGAGGCAGCTGGGCAACGTGGCAAGATGTCATCTCTACAATAAATCATAAAATTAGCTGGGCATTGTGGCAAGTGCCTGTAGTTCTAGCTACTTGGAAGACTCAGGCAGAAGGATCGCCTGAGCCCAGCAAGTTGAGGCTGCAGTGGCTGTGAGTGTGTCACTGCACTCTAGCCTGGGCAATGCAGTGAGACTCTAACTCAAAAAATAATAAAAATACAGTAAGTGTCAAGGATCTGACAGGCTCCCTCAACACTGTCACAGGATTACTAGTTCCCAGATAACCCAGAGGCAGAACAATCCGGACCTGATTCGGGAATTAAATCAAAGGATTGATTGACGAGGACCTGCCAAGTCCACCATTCTGACTTATTCTGCCCTGTTCTGCTCAGCCTCACCATCTACTGGTTGCTTTTCCTTCTGGGATTGGAGCAGAAACCTGTCTCTGGTGGCTTAACATGACAGATAAGGAAGACATAACAAAAAGCTTTAGGGCAGAGAATCCTGCTGGGCGTAAGAGGCTGAGCCTCACCTACCTGGGAGATTTCAGTGGCCACATCCTGGGAAGTTCTTCCCTGAGTAGTGTGACAGTTCCAGGGCACAGACCTCTTTCCTCCTGCCTTGTCCTTCCGCTCCAGTGGCTTCAGATGTGATGCAAGGATGATACCCCTATGGGCAAAAGAAATGAGGAAATGGGCTTAATAATGTTGTATCCGTGGGCCCGAGGCAACTTTGTGTGGCATAGATGAACCTGTTGACAGGCCAATATGACAATAATAATAACAACCACAACGACAGTCATGAGAGCTGACCGCTTTCAAGCACTTCACTTGTGCCGGACACCATGCTCAGAGTCTTACATGCAAGATCTTTTTTTT